TACCCTGTCCTATAGTGTTGCTAGGAATCAGCATTGACTCTATGGCAGTGAGTTTGTGTATTTGATTTCCATGGTAAGAAATGCATAACAAAACAACAAAAAAAGAAATGCATAACATAAAATTCACCATTTTAAAGAACACCCTCGAATGACATTAAGTATAATCAAGATGTGCAACTGTCACTTCTCTATCTAATTCCAAACTTTCTCGGGTCACCTCAACAGGAAAGCCAATTCTTATTAAGCAGTCAACCCCTGCTTCCCCCACATCCGTTCCCTGCTTTGTCTCTCTATACCCACTGCTGTGACATCCATTCTGACTCTTAGTGATCTTTTAGGGCAGTGGTTCTCAACCTTCCTAAGGCCACGGCCCTTTAAAACAGTTCCTTGTGTTGTGGTGACGCCCCCCCCAACCATAACATTATTTTTGTTTCTACTTCATAACTGTCATTTTGCTACTGTTATGAATCGGGTGACCCCTGTAAAAGGGTCCTTCGACTCCCAAAGAGGTCGCAACCCACAGGTTGAGAACTGGTTTAGGGCAAAGGAGACCTGCTCTATAGGGTTTCCGAGAGCCTCATTTTTCTCCCAAGAAGGAGCTGGTAGATTTGAATCACTGACCTTTGGCTAATAGCCCAATGATTAACCCACCGTGCTACCAGGTCTCCTCTCTGTCTGTAGATTTGCCTATGCTGGGTATTTCCTGTGAATGGGATCATAATTAGTGCCTTTTGCACCCCAGTTTATATCCGTGTGCCATTCCTCAGTAACATTCCATTGTATGGATAGACTGCATTGTGTATCTAGCTGTTCATCAGTGGGTGGGCAGTTGAGTCGATGTGATCTTTCAGAGAGTGCAAACAGTGCTGAAATGAACATGGGTGTACATGTATCCGTTTGAGTCCCTGCTTTAATCAGTTCTTTTGGGCATCTACCCAGGAGTGGAATTGCTGACTCCAAAGTAGCATCATGCCCTGAGGGTGTAGTGGTCACGCGTTGAGCTGCTAACTGCAAGGTCAGCAGTTCAAACTCTCCATCTGCTTTGGGGAACAAATATGAAGCGATCTGCTTCTGTGAAGATTTACAGCCTTGGATGGGGGTGGTGTGGGGGCAGGAGGAACAACAGGGCACTAATCCACCACCGGGAGGCTACTGTTTATGTCTCCACAGGAAAGGGACAGAGGGACCAGACCTCAACCTGGTGTGCCAAGCCTTGAGGGCAACGCACCAGCATGAGGCAGTGATCTAACAGAGAGGTCTGAGGGCCAAACCCTATCTCAGCTACGTCAACCCCCATTCCCCAGAGGAATGCACTGTAGAAGACAGCACTGAAGATACAGCACGGGGAGAGTGGCAGGTCTGCTCAGACCACACGGGAGCAAACTAAGAGGGAAACAGAGAAAGAGTGGACAGCATCCTGGCCCACCAAGCTTCTTGGATGACATTCCCACTCAAAGCAGCCAATGCACAGAGAGGACTGTGAGGTCTGCCTCACCACGAGATACAATGTCCCCTTACTAACCCACAGTGCTAGGGGTTAGGGGGGCAGCATGGAGACACAGTGCGGGAATTGTGCCCTGTCTGACCCCCCACACCAGGTGTAACATGCAGGGAGCGCAGCAGAGCAGCAAGGGGAGCAAAGCAACAAGTCCCTGAGGAATTCTGAAACTGGACTTCAGACTCGGGGAGCAGGGCTTGGCACTGCATCAGACCTGATTGGAAAACAGGCATAAGGTTCAGCAGACAGAAATGACTATTCATAGGCTATTTCCCCTCCCCTCCTTTTTTCCATGTCTATCTATATAAGACAGGCAGGCTAACCCATCCTAAGGAGAAAACAACAGGACCAACAGTTCCTGGGAGACAGGGGACAGGAGGAGGTGGGGGAAAGGGAGGCGGGAATCAACAAACCCAGGGACAAGGGAACTACAAGAGATCTAAAATCGATGGCAAGGAAGGCATAGAATACCTGGTGGGGTTTGATCAAGTGAAATGTAGCTGTGAGGAAGTACAGAGAGTTGAATAAAGGTCAAGCATGATCATGGGACAGGAGGAAAGCAAAAGGAAATAGAGGAAAGAACTAGGAGGCAAAAGACATTTATCGAGGTATAAACATAGGCATGTACATATGTAAATATATTAATATATAATGATAGGGATACAGGGCTATGTACCTATAGTTATAGGTTAAGTATTAAGGTAGCAGGTAGACATTGTCCTCCCTCAATACAAGAACACTTTGTTCTAATAACCTGGCATTCTGTGATGCGCACCTTCCTGACAAGATCGCTGAAGACAAAATGGGTGCATAAGCAAATGTAGTGAAGAAAGCTAATGATGCCCAGCTATTACAAGATATAGTGTCTGGGGTCTTAAAGGCTTAAAGTTAAACAAATGGCCACCTAGCAGGGAAGCAACAAAGCCCACATGGAAGAAACACAACAACCTGTGCGATCACAAGGTGTCAAGGTGTCGATGGGATCAGGTGTCAGGTATCAGAAGACCCCAAACAAACAACCATTTCGATGAGAATGAGGGGGGTCCAAATGGAGACCCAAAGCCAATCTGTAGACAATTGGACAGCCCCTCACAGAAGGGTCACAAGGAAGGAAGGAGCCAGCCAGGGTGAAGTATAGTACCAACAAAACACACAACATCCCTCTAGTTCTTTAATGCTTCCCTCCTCCCCCACTATCAGAACCCCAGTTCTATCTTACAAATCTGGCTAGATCACAGCATGTACACTGACTGGTACAGATAAGAGCTCTGGACACACAGAATCAGGACAGATAAACCCCTCAGGACCAATAATGAGAATAGCAGTACCTTTAGGGTAGGGGGAAAGTGGGGGAAGAAAGGGGAGAAAGAGGGAACCGATCGTAATGATCAACGTACAACACCCCCCGCCCCCGTGACGAACAACAGAAATGTGGGTAAAGGGAGACAGCAGATGGTGTAAAATATGAAAATGAAAATAATTTATAAATTCTCAAGGGTTCACAAGTGGGGAGGGGGGATGGAGGAGTAAATAGAAGAGCTGATAGCAAGGACTCAAGTCGAAAGAAAATGTTTTGGAAATGAGGATGGCAACAAATGTACAAATGTGCTTGACACAATTGATGTATGGATTGTGGGGTTTTTTTGTTTTTTGTTTTTTTTTATGTATGGATTGTTCTAAGAGCTGTAAGAGCTCCCAATAAAATGATTTAAGAAATATAAGAAAGATTTACAGTCTTGGAAACCTACGGGGCAGGTCTCCTTTGTCCTGTAGGATCCATAGGTGTTGTGATTGATTCGAAGGCAGTGAGCTGGGGTTTTGAGTGGTTCACCTGCCTCGTGTTGACCATTCCCCACACCACGGGTGCCTGCCTATTGCCCTGTCTCTTCCCAGGAATTCAGAGCCCCCGAGTTGCCAGGTAGCTCTCCTGGATGCCAGTGCTGGGTTCATTCCAACCCCAGAAGTGTGACCCTAACTGCTCAGGCTGAGTTGTGCCAACAGGAGGGAGAGCCGTGTCATGTATACTCCGGTACCTTTGTGTGGGCTGTCACGTCTGCCACCCCTGCAGCCTCACTCAAGTGGTCTCCTGGTACCTGTTTGTTTTATGAACCAAAATTAGATTCCGAGTCAAAACCAGGGTCATCCGATAAAACCAAACCAAACTCCCTGCCATCCGTCGATCCTGACTCATAGAGACCCTCTACACGGGGTAGAACTGTTCTTGTGGATTTCTGAGACTGTAACTCTTTACAGGGGTAGAACGGCTTGTCTTTCTCCCTCGGAACATGGTAGTTTTGAACCGATGACCTTGCAGTTATCACCCCCTCGGTGTAACCACTAGGCCACCAGCCTCCCTGGTCATCCATAAGCAAATGCTAATTTTAATCATAAAGCCCAGCTTAGTGATTGCTGGCCACTGGGAGCTGATGCAGCCAGATCAGCTGTGTGTGTAGGAACCAGACAGAGGGGAGTGCCGCGGGAACAGGGAGGGCTTCTTTTGACTTTAGTTTTCCTTAGCAAGTGTCAAACCCCTTCCCGGAGAGGTCACCTGAGATGTTTGACATGGAGACCACTGGGAGAGATCCCTTCATAAATGCATTCTCTTAAGAGGTATCAGAGTGGCAACCTTGAGGGTAAGATGTTGGTTTGTTGATGCTTCTGGAAGAGTGACTTTGGCTCGGGGTCATGAATAAACGTCCTGTCCTACTTAGGAGTTCCTGGTGGTACAAACAGTTCATTCACTCAGTTGCTAAGGGCTGTATGGGTTGTTCGAGTCCACTCAGAGGTCCCTTGGAAGAAAGGCCTGGTAACTTATTCCTTAAGAATCCCATTGGAAAAAGCCATGGGAAACCCCAAGACACACCGATTGACTCTGACACACATTCAGAACTGATTCCACAGTAACTGTGGATACTGTTTTGGGCCCCACAGTAGAACAGGCTACTTCAACAGGTGGTGAATCTCCCATCACTGGGGTCTGTAAGCAGAAGGATTCGGCCATGGATACTGCAGAAGAGAAGTATTCCAGGGAGGGCACTTTGCCTGAATGATTGGTTTCCCCGAAGTTTCACTAACTTCTGCCCTTATGTATCCTCAGCAGGTTCTTGAGCTGAAATAATCACATTTCAAATTTCAGTCTGTCTTCTGAGGCAGGTGTTTGCTGGAGGGACTTAGTGGTGGAGGCATGGTTTCCTCTAGTTCTGGGGTGGGTAACTTCTGGCCTGAAGGCCAAATCAGGCCAAGAAATCACCAATACCAGCTAACCTTACATGGCACCATGAGCAGCAGTTCTAGCCATCCAGTTGGGGGGGTGGAGTTATGCAAATGTTTGCCCAGTCCAGCCCTCCAAAAGTGTTATAAATTTCCACATGGCCCTAGGCAGAAAAAAAACCCAACCGTTCCCACCCCTGCTCTAGTTGCATCAGCCTTGGTATGTGACCTCTGGTATTTATCTTGTTGGTTCCCAGATGAACTGAACAGACAGAAAGTAATTTTGTCTGGTTAGCAAAACAACAGAAGTGGCCAGGTAAGCCAGGAGAAACCCGGGGGTGTTAGTGAGGTAGACGTGTGGGTAGTGGTAGGATTCAAATAATGTGACAACCAGTTTGCTGCCCTAATGGCTGTTTTAAGAATAACGAAAGGTAGTTTATTATTTCATACAGTTGATCCTTAAATTTGAGTTATGCAAAACTAGATTATAGGAATTTAAAAATATTAATGAAAAAAGGTGAAATAGCTGACAAAAACAATAAAGCTGTTAAGATTTTTTTTAAACTGCTATTGTTCGATATTTGATATTTCCATATAGCTTCTTGATTGGTATCCTCTTGCAATATTCTTTACTTTTATAAGCGTATCATCAGCTATGTGATTTATTCCTAACCATCTTTCGACTGTCGGAGTAGGATCCCATTCGTTTAGAGGTAGACCAATTAGACGACAATCATTGTGTTTGATATATTAGAAATGTTAGACAGCCAGGATCGGGACAGCGGGTTGTCCCTCCCATGCCTGTGAAGTTCCCCGTAGGGGAGGTTGGAAAGAACTCAGGTGAGCCTTAGGCACCTAAGAGGACCCTTTAACTGAGCCTGCTCCAATTCCAGCCCCCAGCCAGGTGGGCAGTACACCTGGGCGGCCCAAACTAGGCCCAGGTAGGCTTAATTCAGTCAGTGGGGTCAACCAAGACCGTCCACCACGACTGCCCTGCCAGAGGTTTGAAATACCCTGGCGGTGGGAAGGCAGCCTTCTTTTCCCTGCCCGAGCCTGTTTGCGCTGTGCTGCATGCACTGCGCTCTCTGGCCTCCGCTCTGCACGTGTGGGGCGCTGTTCCATGAGGTTTATGTCCAGTTGTGCCCCAGCGTGGCTTCCCAGCAGTTTGGCACGCTTCTCTGAAATAGCGTGTAATCTTTGAGATAAGATATGACAAGATAATAATAATAATTTATAAATTATCAAGGGCTCAAGAGGGAGAGTAGAAAGGGGAGGGAGGGGAAAAATGAGCTGATACTAAGGGCTCAAGTAAGTAGAAAGCAAATGTTTTGAGAATGATGACGGCAACAAGTGTACAAATGTGTGTATGTATGTATAGATTGTGATACAATGTATGTAGTATAGATTGTGATGTGTTGTAGGAGCCCCAAATAAAATGATTAAATTTAAAAAACAAAAACTCACTTGGATTACAAACCAGGCTTTGTCGTGTGAAGCCAAGAACGGAGCTCGAGGAACTTCACAGAAAGAGGTGGCTTCTCTGAACAAACGTTTATCTTTGAAAAACCCTGTTGTTTCTGCTGAATTTGAAGCAATTGTTCTGATAATATTTTTAGCTCTTTGAACACTCTCAGGAATTGCCTAAGTCTAAGGTGACCAGATGTTAACATTGGTAAAGCGGGACACCATTGATAAAACTCATATCCTGGCGAAATAGCCACATGGCAGCTGAAAACCATATACCCTAGCTTGTCGTGCATTCTTTTAAAAAATCGGGACTTTTTAAAAACGCCGCGGGACACAGGACAAATTGTTCAAAAGCAGGACTGTCCCACCAAAAGCGGGACATCTGGTCACCTTAAAAGTCACTCCTTGTCTCATGGGAATTTGGGGCTTAACATAAAGGCAAAATGACTGACATAGAGTCACTCTGTAGTTGTTGGGCACTTTTTCTCTTTAGGCTATATGTTTAATGCCACAACAAACACAAGGGAATAAAAGTGTAGTATTTCATAAAAAGCATGAGTTTTATGAAATGAATATTATAAGCAGAATTCCATTTAATTTTTTTGTACCTATGGATTGCATTAACATGACTATGGGCACTTAGAATGTGCTGTTGTGCAGAGATGAGCGTTAAGAAAGAGAAGGAACGTAAGTTTGTGGGCAGCTGCCTACCTTAGAGAGAATCCTGATTACAAATGACATTTTAACAACTGAATCTCCACACGAAACAAAACATTAGTTTATTCTGCTGAACTGGTTCAAACTGGCTGAATCCCACCACTACATATGGGAGAGGGGAGTGGGATGCTTGGTACGCACCTCCTTTGCCTTGGGGACTCTCCAGATATGGTTGTGTTAGGTAGCTAGTTTTAGGGACAGGGGTGTCCCTCTCATCCCTGCAAAGGGCCCCATAGAGGAGGTTGGAAAGAAATCAGGCGATCACTAGACACCTATGAAGACCCCAAACTGAGCATGCTCATACTCAAGCCCCTGAGGCGTTGGGGGTGTGTGTGTGGGGTGATAGGGGGCGCACTCTCTCTCCCCCTCACTCTGGCCTCTGCACCCTCCTGCCCCTTGCTCCTAGTTCCTGAGACGCCCCCCCAAAGTTCTGTACATATGGGTGCTCTTTTCCAAGAGGTTGCTCGTGCCCAGTTGTGACCTTTGAGACTGTCCTTCATAAAAACCCACTTGGATTACAAAATGGACTTCAGTGTGCATTCTTTCATCGTGCTGCGAAGCCAAGAACTGAGGTATTACCCAATCAAGAACCTCACAGTGAGTTCCAGATTAGGCACCCTGAGAGAAGAGGGTTCCTGACTCTTGAAATGCCAGGGATTCATCAGCCAGTGAAATCGTCCTTGAGTACCCACTGTAAACCCACCCCTATTGATTACGCAGGAGCCCGGGTACTGTAGTGGTGGTGCATTGAGCTGCAATCCACATGGTTAGCAGTTCAAAACCATCAGCAGTTATGTGGGAAAAAGACTGGGCTTTCTATTCCCGTAAACATTTAAAGTCTCAAATCCACAAGGGGTCACTGAGTCAGCACTGACTGGATAGCAATGAGTGTGCTTTCTTTGGCTGATTAAACACTTCCCAAGGATCAGTTCCTGCCTTGATTAGCTTGACCAACATCTCCTCTACCCCTATTTCACTTTTGAGGACAAAGGAGAGTTGACCAGTCACAGAGCTAGTAGGTACATCAGGGCCAGTGTCCTTTTGGCTCTGTTGGCCTGCCGGCTCCCTTCATTGACGTGGTTGGAGCTATCTGTAAGGTAATCAACACGGGACAGGGATTTCAGTGTCTTGATGATGTCAGGGACTGCAAGATTTCAGTGTCTTGATGATGGGAGGACGGCAAGATTTCATCTCGTGTAATTTGGACATGTTCATAGAAGACACCAGGCCCTGGAGAGGGCATCATGATCGATCGAGTGGAGGGCCAGTGATAAAGGGGCAGACCCTTAAAGAGAGGGATACAGATGCCTGCAGCCATGGGCTTGGATACAGCAAAGATTGTAAGGATGCTGCAGGGGCTGGAGAGCATTTTGTTCTGTAAGATACAGGATCTTGATGGGTCAGAATCAACCTGAGGGCACCTATCTTCAGTAATTGTACTGAAGGCTAAGGTGAAGTGGGCCACCTGAATTAGAAAGCCGCTGGTGTCGTGGAATGGCTCTATGCTGCCTGATTTTGAGATTTTATAATCTATTTTCCCCATATAAGTAACACCCAGCAGCCAAAGGGGCTCTTAATGGGTTACTTGCTGGACTACTAAAGACAAGGACAGCAGTTCAAGGCTGCCAGCCACCAAGAAGTAAAGATTTAATCTTGGTAGTTCTACTCTGTCTTATAGGGTCAATATGAGCTGGAATCGACTGATGGCTAAGGTGACCAGACATCCCAATTTTTAACAACTTTTCCTGCATCCTGCGGTGTTTTTAAAAAGTCCTGATTTTTGGAAAGAATGCACAAGCTAGGGTATACGGTTTTTGGCTGCCATGTGGCTATTTCGCCAGGATATGACTTTTATCAATGGTGTCCCGCTTTACCAATGTTAAAATCTGGTCACCTTACTGATGACAGTATTTGGCGTTTTAGAGGCATTTAAAAACTATCCGTTTAAAATGAAAACAAAGCCCCACAAAAACCTCCTTTTCTGTCACTCCCTCTCCATCACTATTTCATTGCTCAGTAACCTATTCTGTACTACTGACAACCCGGACCGACCGACAGACCGACAGACAGCCCTGATATGAAATTCTGGCTCACAGCCACCCTCTAAGAGAGGGATGAATTGCTCCACAAAGCTGCCAATCTTAATCAAAGAAAAAAAAGAAAGAAAGAAAAAGTTTTAATGCTACAGAGTTCACACATCTTACACTTCAATAGTTGGGTCACATCAAAAGCAGCGCCGTCATCACCGCAATCGTTACTGGAGCAACGTCACTGGAGCAGACTGCCTCCCCATCCCCCACCTCCCCACCCGCCGTGGGCTTGCAATTCCTAGGCACCCACCGTGCCCTCCACACAGTCAGCGCTCCTGCCCTCCCCACTTTGTATGACGGGCACCTTCCCGGGCGCTCAAACCTTGCCTGGTCCCGACCTAGGTCCCAGTGTTTTGCATCACAGCACTTATCAGAATTGCCATTATTTCTATTTTGTCTCCTGGCCCCGATAAGACAGAGGCGCCACTCTAGCTCGCTCCAGCTGGAGTGAAGGGGGAAGATGAGTGAGGTCAGATTCAGAGGAGGGGTTCCCGGCGAAGGAAAAGGTCCTGGGGGGTCGGGGGTCAGAGGCTCCGGTCAGTCCTGGGAGCAGCCTTCAGGTGACACTCTCCCACCGCTCGCGGCA